GCCTTATCTCTTCTCCCGTCCCTTGGCTTAGAAAGTACGTATTTTCTCTGTCTAAACTCTCATTTTTCCAACTAGTCTGTGGGATCCTTGATATTGCTGATGCCTTTTTTTCTGTTAGTTAGTTTTTGAGGATCTTTAAACAATTTTATTTAAAAAATATCATATAGGTATATATTGTACATTGAGCAGATCCCTGACACTTACCCAAATTTTGCAGGATTTTAACACCTATGGTATACGGTGCCCACCAACTCTCCTCTACAAATCCCTATGGCTTGGTTTGGCTTTGGTTATCTTTATTTAGTAATTTTTTTTTTGAGATAGGGTCTCATATAACCCAGGCTGGCTTTGAACTTGATATGTAGCTAAGGATGACCTTCAACATCCCCTGAGTGCTGGGATTACAGTCCTGCATCACCACACCTGATTTATGTGGTGCTGAGGATGAGACCCAGGGCTTTATGCATGCTAGGCAAGTCCTTTACCAACTGAGCCGCACCTCAGGTCCTCACCAGGGATTCCAAGCCGATGACCCAGTACTCCGTCATGTTTCCAGCGTGTTTCCCCTCACTGGGGGATTCTAGGAGGATGTCCTTGTGCTGAGCTCCACCCCCAAACCTCCTTGAACAATGTATGCACCTGTTGAAAAAGTTCAAAGAACGTCTGGTTAGGTTACTGGGACCAGGGAGCCTTTTCAGAAGGACTTTTTCATTTTTTAAATAAGATAATTAAAAAATAAGACACATTTTGAAAGTTTCCATTTAAATTCTTTGGCCTTAAAAAAAATGAAGGAGAAATTTCATTTTTTCCAAATTTCACAGTTTCTAAAAGTATTCTGTGTAATTATACATAAAATCTCTTGATGTTAAATAAACTGGTTGTTGTTTATTGTAAATGTTGTTTAGTGTAAACTTTCTCTTGCTCAGACTGTTATGTAATCCTGTCTCCAAACTGAAACAAGAGGTAATCCTTAAGAGTGAGGGAGTAAACAACTCACAAGTCTCAGGATGTTCCTGAAACTGACCACACATACCAGGTCCCTTCTTCCCCATGTGCCACCAATGCCAGGTGACGTCCTCCTGTTTGTGTGGCAAATATTTTACCCACAGAACCATCTTGTAGCCCCTATTTGTGTGGTTTTGAAAATCTGTTTGTTTTCTGAGACAGTGTTGCTTTCTCTCTATAGCCCAGGCTGGCCTGCAGACTCCCAGCAGACCTCCTTCTCCAACTTCTCAAGTAAGTACAGGGGTTACATGCCCACACTGCCACATCTGGCTTGTGCTAACTTCTTAAAATAAAAATAGTGATTTCTGGCTGGGCAGTGGTGGTGCACACCTTTAATCCCAGCACTCAGGAGGCAGAGCCAGGTGGATTTCTGTGAGTTCGAGGCCAGCTCCAGGACAGGCACCAAAACTACACAGAGAAACCCTGTCTCAAAAAACAAAAACAAAAACAAACAAACAAAAATAGTGATTTCCTTAAGTTTTCAGTGAATCACATCTGTTGTTAGTTGTTTTTGCTCTTTTGGGAGGGCCTGCTACCCAGCTCCCAAATAAATCATACGCGGAGGCTTAATCTTAATTATAAATGCCTGGCCTTAGCTTGGCTTGTTTATTGCCAGTTTTTCTTAACTTAAAATGATCCCATCTACCTTTGGCCTGTGGGCTTTTTCCTTTTCTTACTTCTGTAATCTTACTTTTACTCTTTCTTTGTGGCTGGCTGTGTGGCTGTGTGGCTGTGTGGCTGTCCCCTAGCATCCTCCTCTCTGTTCTCTTGCTCTTTCTTCTTTCTAGTCATTCTCTCTGCCTGCCAGCCCCACCTATCCTTTCTCCTGCCTCGCTATTAGCCTCACAGCTCTTTATTAGACCATCAGGTGTTTTAGACAGGCACAGTAACACAACTTCACAGAGTTAAACAAATGCAACATAAACAAAAGTCACACACCTTAAAATAATATTCCACAACAGGGATCACATGCCCACACCACCACATCTGGCTTATACTAATGTCTTAACATAAAAATAGTGATTTCCAGCCGGGCGGTGGTGGCGCACGCCTTTAATCCCAGCACTCGGGAGGCAGAGCCAGGTGGATCTCTGTGAGTTCGAGGCCAGCCTGGACTACCAAGTGAGCTCCAGGAAAGGCGCAAAGCTACACAGAGAAACCCTGTCTCGAAAAACCAAAAAAAAAAAAAAAAAAAAAAAAAAAAATAGTGATTTCCAGTGAGTCACATCTCAGTGATTTTCCAAGAACTGCTTGTCATAAAATGGTTCTGGTGGTCAGCGGTGGCTTCCTATTTGACTATAGATTTGCCATTTATTTCCTTCATTTTTTCTTTTAAAAAATGTAGTTTGCTGGGTGGTGGTGGTGCACACCTTTAATCCCAGCACTGAGGAGGCAGAGGCAGGCAGATTTCTGGGAATTTAAGGGAAGCTTGCTCTATAGAGTGAGTTCCAGGACAGCCAGGGTTACACAGAGAAATCCTATCTCAAAAAATAAAATAAAAATGAAAAAAAAATGTAGTTCTTCTTTGAAAGACTTAAAAAAAACTTAGTTTATTCTGTCTTCTTTTGATAATTATGTCTATTTGGTTCCTAGATGAGTTGTTTTCTGATTTTTTTTTAACGTGTGTGTGTGTGTGTGTGTGTGTGTGTGTGTGTGTGTGTGTGTGTGTAGTGCAGTGCCCTTGGAGGCCAGAAGAGGGCATTAATCTCCTGGAGCTGGAATTACAGGTGGTTGTGAACTGCTGATGTGGATGTTGGGAACTGAACTTGGGTTCTCTGCAATAGCGGTCATCTGTGGGGCTCCCCTGTTTTCCAAAAGTCCGATACTAATGTCCAGATTCTCACTCAACACTCATTGCTATCTGGTCTGGTAGTTTGAAAGATGTGTCCCCCAAAGGCCCACTTACTTGAACACCTGATCCCCAGTTGGCAATGCTGTTCTATTGCTGTGAAGAGACACCATGACCAAGGAAACTCTTATAAAAGAAAGCATTTAATTGTGGGCTTGCTCATAGTTTTAAAGGGCTAGTCCATAATCAAGGCATGGTGCTGGTGCAGTAGCTGAGAGCTTTATATCCTGATGAGGGAGGGAGGGAGGGAGGGAGGGAGGGAGAGAGAGAGAGAGAGAGAGAGAGAGAGAGAGAGAGAGAAAGAGAAGGCTTGCTGTGGGCTTTTGAAAGCTCAGATCCCACCCCCAGTCACATACCTCCTCCAACAAAGCCACACCTTCGAATCCTTCCCAGTTTCATACAAATATATGAGTTTATAGGGATCATTTTTAATCAAACCGTCACATTTAGTTTGTGCATTGCTAATGATGGAACCCAGAGTCTTGTGCAATAGTAGGCAAATGCTCTACTGAGCAGCATCCTAAGTCCCCCAAAACTTTTTGAATGTCGACTAGAAGAACAAATAGGAAATCCCACACTAGACCGCTTATGACAGGTTGTAGTCAAAATGTGTGTGTGTGTGTGTGTGTGTGTGTGTGTGTACTCATGCTTACTATCAGAGTACTCAAGAAGTAGATGCAGAAGGATCAGAAATTCAAGGCCATCCTCAGCTACATAGTGAGTTTGAGCCAGCCTGTGCTATAGGAGACTCTGTCTCAAAAACCAAAACCTGAGATTAGGGAGATGGCACCCCAGTCACTGACTATTCTTAGCACTGACTATTCTTCCTGAGGACCTGAGTTCAATTCCCAGCACCCCCATGGTGGCTCACAAACATCTGTAACTCCAGTATCAGGAGATACAATGCCCTCCTCTGGCGTCCTTGGGCACTTGCATGCACATGGTGCACATATAAATATGCAGGCAAACACTCATACATCTAAAATAAATCTTCCAAAACAAAACAAGCCCCAAACCTAATCCAAAAGCAAACCAACCAACAACAAAACTCACAGTCCCCTCAAACCATGGTGTAAGAGTTACCTTCAAGCTTGTGGTGGTTTGAATGAGAATTGCAGAGTTAAAAACCCAAGAGGTCAGAGCAGTAGCTGAGAGCTGAGCTTACCCTTCACTGCCGCTGCTGTCCTTCCTCTCAGCAAGAGTGCTACTTCCTGTGCATCTGTCTTTTTATAGACTTTCTGTTCTGCCTTCTCATTGGTTGTAAACCCAACCACATGGCCTCCACGTCACTGCCCATCTATACAGACCTCCAGGTCTTCTATGGTTGGTATTGAGATTAAAGGCGTGTATCTCCATGCTGGTGGTGTCCTTGAACACACAGAGATCTGCCTGTCATGTGATCGGGATTAAGGGCGTGTGCTACCACTGCCGGACTTCTGCCATGGCTTGCTATCTGCTCTGACCCCCAGGCAACTTTATTTTCTAACATACAAATAAAATCACATTTCAGTACAAATAAAATATCACCATAGAGAATGGCCTGCATGGGCTGGTAGGTTTGAATGCTTGGTCCACAGGTGGCAAAACTGCTTGGGAAGAATTAGGAGGTGCAGCTTTGTTGGAGGAGGTGTGTTACTGGGGGTGGTATTTGAGGTTTCAAAAGCCCACACCATTCCCAGGTAGCTCCCCCGCGATCTCTCTCTGCCTCCATCTTTCAGATCAGGTGTGAGCTCTCAGCTACTGCTCCAGTCCATGCCCACCTGTTGCCATGCTCCCTGCCACGATGGTCATGGACTCATCTTCTGAAAGTGTAAGCCAGCCCCTGATCAAATGCTTTCTTTTAGAAGTTGCCTTGGTCCTATCGTCTCATCACAGCGAAAGAAAAGTAACTAAGACAAGGGTCTGTGAGTAGGGACATATGAAGTGGTGTTCTGTATTTAGGCCTGAGTCATATCTCTAAGGTATCTCATTTTATAAATCTATGTTAATATTCCAAGATCTGAAAGAAATCTGAAATACTTCTGGTCCCAGGCATTTTGGATCGGGGACAGCCAACACATAGGCACCAAACACAATGATTTCCCCATCTTTTTCATTGCAGTGGTCACAATTCCAGTCACTTGGGCCCGAATCTCCACCATGTCCTCTTCTATTTCACTGGCCCAACTGACATCATTCTTCACTGTTCTGGGGTCACTACCCTGGTCTTCTTTTTTCTCATCTTGGTTTCTGGGATAGCCGTTTTTTGGTTGTCAACTTGACTTCATCTGGAATGAACTATAATCTAGAAATGGAGGGCACACTTGTGAGATTTTTTTTTTTTGATTGGTTTGAAGTGGGTGGATCTGTTTCTGGTCTACCTTCAAGGCAGGATTTTTATCTAGATCTATCTATCTATCTATCTATCTATCTATCTATCTATCTATCTATCTATCTATCTATCTATCTATTGTGGTGGTATTCTAATTGTACTGAAATGTGATTTTAATTGTATGTTAATAAATAAAGTTGCCCGGGGGTCAGAGCTATTAGAGCTTCCATAGACAGAGTGTGGCGGTGGTGGCGTATGCCTTTAATCCCATAGATCTCTGTGTGTTCAGGGATACAGCCAGCATTGGAGACATATGCCTTTAAGACCTGGGGGGGTGTACATACAGACAGTGATGAGGCAGTCACGTGTTTGGGTTTACAACCAATGAGAAGGCAGAACAAAAGACTATGAAAAGATGAACAGACAGTAAATAGCTCTCTTTCGGGAAGCTAGGACCACCGCAGGAGGAAGGGTGAGATTTTAGCTCTGAGCTCTGACCTCTTGGCTTTCTCTTTTACATTGGTTCTGTGTTTCTTATTTAATAAGACAGTTGGATACATCTACAATCTATCTATCTATCTATCTATCTATCTATCTATCTATCTATCTATCTATCTATCTATCTATCTATTTTCTAGACAGGGTTTTTCTGTATGGCCCTGTCTGTCCTGGAATTTGCTCTATAGACCAGTCTGGCCTTAAACTCAGAGACCATCCTGCCTTTGCCTCCTGAGTGCTGGGATTAAAGGTATGCTCCACCACTGCCCATCCTTGATCTGGATCTTGAAGAGGGAGGACTCACACCTTTAATCCAGATTCTGAGGCAGGAAGACACACACATTTAATCTGGGCCACACCTTCTCCTGGAAGTCTATATAAGGACATGGAAGAAGGAAGCTTTGCTCTTTGTCTCCTTGCTCTCTCCTTGCTAGCAAGTCCATTCCTTCACTGGCATTGGAGCCTACTTCTTCAGGATTCCAGCATCTACTGGAGACCAGCTGAGACATCCAGTCTTGTGGACTGAGCAACTTCTGGATTCTTGGACTTTGTGTTCACAGCCAGCCATTGTTGGATTAGCTGGACCATAGCCTGTAAGTCATTCTAATAAACCCCTTTTCTATATAAAATAGAAAGAGAGATTCATTCTATAAGTTCTGCTGCTCTGAGAACCCTAATACAGTGTCTTACTGTCTGTTTCTCACATGGGCACTAGATCCTATCTAAAGTCCTTCCTCTACTCAAATTCTTCCATGGCTTCATTCCCCCTCAGTTCACAAGGCAAAGTCCTTACCATGGTGTCTGCGATCTCTCCTCCCCCTTTCTCTGTCTCATTGCCAAGTTGTTTCCTCTCCTCCGTCTGAAGCCTTGCTCTTCAGTGTTCCTTGTTTGCTTGCCTCGCTTACAAGAGACCTTGGAATTGATCCTCAGCTCCAAATAAACCTGCATGGGTTGATACAAGCCCGTAAGACCAGAACTTAGAAAGTGGAGGGCAGGCGGGTCAGGTCATCTTCAGCTACATGAGACCCTGTTTCAAAAAAAAGTGCACAAACTTTTTTTTTCACTGCTTGCTGTACATACAGCCACTCACTAAATGGTAAATCTTTAATTTTGATTATATACTTCCAAATTGTCCTCCTTTATCCTTAGGATAGCACTACCCTTGGAAGGGTACAGCCTTAGAATCTGGGGTTGCGTCAATGCATGGAGTAGACTTTGGGGAAGAAAATAGATGAGGTCTCTGCTCCTAGGGAGCTCACCTCTTTTTTTTTTTTTTTGGTTTTTCGAGACAGGGTTTCCCTGTGTAGCTTTGCGCCTTTCCTGGAACTCACTTGGTAGCCCAGGCTGGCCTCGAACTCACAGAGATCTGCCTGCCTCTGCCTCCCGAGTGCTGGGATTAAAGACGTGCTCCACCACCGCGGTGGGAGCTCACCTCTTACTAGAGGATGCAGGGATGGTCACAAAACCAAGAGTAAATAGGACATGGTGAAGCACACCCACTATCCCAGCACTCAGGAGACTAAAGTGGGAAGGTCATGAGTTGGAACCTGACCGAAATAGGAAGCTGTTGTCTGAAACACACAAGTGAATAAATAAAATATTAAGCAATATTGTCTGCCATTTGGGAAACACAAAAAGGAACAGAGGGCGTGGAGGGATGCTGCTTGTAGAAGCAAGGTCAGAGACAATAGATTCAGTGAAATAATACTTGAGTGGAAAACAAGAAAATGAGATTCATGGAGAAGCTGAAAGGACCAAGCAGACACCACTCAGGCTTCTCTCAGAGATCAGGCCTCAATTTCAGTTTCCTGAGACTTGAGCAAGCAGTTTCTGGGAGGGCCATGAACAAAAGACATAGTCCTTGCAGTAGCTCCCTTTTTGCACGTACTCTGACTGCTCAAGGTTCAGCCAGTTGTTTACTGTCTGGGACCCCTCACCAACTTAGAGCTACGTGCATGAGTCAAGGACAGAGCCCGGGCCACTGGGCCAGCCCCCACAGTCAGTACATGCGAGGTCAGCCAGCCCCCATGGCGGCTCAAGGACAGAGCCTGGGACTTGTCCAGGCCTGCCCAAAAAGGATAACTGTAACCCCCAACCAGTAAATTCAAAGGTTACATACCCTCACCCAATCCTATGATGCAAAGGCTTGTACCACCTGCTTGCGGGTTTTCCCTTTAAAAACCCCTCACCCTGAGAGCTCAGGGCCGTCCTCCTTCACCTGCTGTGTCGGAGTGCTGGGCACAGACCAAGCCTGGGCTTGCTTGTAATCAATAACCCCCTGTGTGTTCTGCATTGGATATCGGCTCTGTGGTGGTCTTGCTCGGGGGTCTCGTGACCAGGCACAACAAAGCCTGATAGGGAAGTATTATCAGAAGAGGAAGCAGAAAATGCAAAAGCTGAGCTACATACAGCCCAGCCTGGTTTATATTTATGTGGTTTTTCCAGACAGAGTATGTAGTCCTGGCTGTCCTGGAACTCATTCTGTAGACCAGGCTGGCCTCTGCCTCCTGAGTGCTGAGACTAAAAGCACGCACCACCACTGCCTGGCTAGGTTTATATTATATTATATTATATTATATTATATTATATTATATTATATTATATTATATTATATTATATTATATTATATTATATTATTTATTTATTATGTATACAGAAGAGGGTACCAGAGGTATTTATTTATTTATTTATTTATTTATTTATTTATTTATTTATTTATTTATTTATTTATTTATTTATTTATTATGTATACAGAAGAGGGTGCCAGATCTCATTACAGGTGGTTGTGAGCCACCATGTGGTTGCTGGGAATTGAACTCAGGACCTGTGGAAGAGCAGTCGGCGCTCTTAACCTCTGAGCCATCTCTCCAGCCCCTGACTAACTAGGTTTATATATTCATATGTATACTTTTCAGTGTTTTTTTTTTTTTTGCAACAAGTTTGAAAAAACAGGTATTCTTAAGCTATGAATGGGGAAACTGAGGCTCAGTTCCCCAGCGATTGGTACATCTAGGAGTACTGAGTAGTATTCTCTGGAGTCTTTTCTCACCCATTTAGTCATTAATTCAACATTTGTGGCTCTGTAGCAGGCTTTGAGGGACGCAAGGCTGACCAGCACAGAACTGGCCCCTGACTTCAGGGTGCTGGGGTCAGATCTGACGGCGTATTAGTGAGTTATATTAATAGAGTGATCACATGAATGCTTTATTAACTTAATTAATTTTTTTTTCTTTTTCTTTCTTTCTTTTTTTTTCTTTTCTTTTTTTTTTT